GCTGCCTCCCTTCCGTCCCCTCAGACCCGGAGAGACCAGCCGGCGAGTCAGCGAGCAAACGAGCCCAGCCCCCAGCTGTCGCCTCACCACCACCCCGGTCACTGCCTTGGCCACTACACCAAGATCAGCCACCATCCCCGCCCCACTCTCCTAGTCGCAACTCCATCCATCTCCCCAGCCACCTTCCCATCGCCATCCCATCGCCTTTGCGCGCCTCGACTCCTCACAGCAATCGGCCGTCTCGCATCACCCACACGCCTCACACACTCTGTCCGCGCTCGGTCCAGCCCACAACGCCAACGCCATAGACCTTTTTCCAGCCACATGCCTCACCGATCTCACCCCTCTCCTTTCCCTCGATCCTATCCGCTCCCGTCACCATCACACCAAATCCGTCACACTCCCGCACCCGAGTCCCATCCATCTCAATCCCTCCGCTCGACCCGGCCCCACCCCCGCTACCTCTACCCAACCGCAATACCGACACTACACCCCACTCTGCCACACTCCGCCACTACCCCCACCCCCTCATACCTCTACTTCCACTCGGCTTTGCCCAGCCGCTCTATTCATTCCCCGTACCCGCACCTCTCCCTTCCCACACACACCCCAGACTCAGCCCCATCCATGTCCTCATCCTCCTCGTCCTCGTCGGACACCAGCTCGACGTCGTCGAGCGGGCAGGCATCGTCCGGTGAGTCGTTTGAGACACAGGCCCGCACTATGGGCGCTACCAACGACGAGCTTGAGCTCATTGACAAGCTTGTTGGCTCGGACGACGACAGTGACAATCCCGAGAACGACGCTATCGCCTTTGGCGATGCCGGCCACGACAAGACCCTTGTCAGCGGCGTCAAGGCCCTGCTGAAGCGCAAGCGTGCCGCCGTCGACGACGCGCGCTCGGCCAAGAAGGCTCGCTCGCTGAACAAGAAGAAAAGCTCATCATCATCCGCCTCGTCGTCATCGTCGTCGCCGTCGTCGTCGGCCACGTCCTCGGCGACCTCGGTCTCGTCGCTCTCGTCCGGCGCCTCGTCGGCCTCGTCCGACTCGTCCTCATACTCGTCGTCATCTGGCCCGAGTTTGACACCATTGCTCCGCCGCCGCCGCCGACACAGGGCCCGCCGCGCTGGTACCATCTCCTCCCTTCGCTTGTCTCGCGCCGGCCCGAGGCCGCGCCGCACACCGTCCGCGCCGCCCGCCGCAAGGCCCAAGAGCTTGCTGACGCCGACAAGGCCCGCTTTGACGCCATGACCACCGGCCGCAAGGCCCAGCGTGAGACCCGCTCCGACAACATGTGGCTGAAGACCGTCCTCCGCACCGGTACCCTCACCGATCGACTTGCCGCCATGTCCATCATGCTCCAGCAGTCGCCCATGTACCGGCTTGAAGTCCTTGACCAGCTCGTCCACATGGCGAGCCGAAAGTCCGGCCGCGAGGCCGAGCTCGCGCTGCAGACCCTCAAGGACCTTTTTGTCGACTTTCTCCTCCCCTCGCACCGCCCGCTCGTCGCTTTTGCCGACCAGCCGCACGACCACCCAGACGTTGGCCCGCAGTACCTCGTCATGTGGCTGTTTGAGGACAAGCTTCAGGTCCGCTTTGCCCGCTTCCTCGCCGCCCTCGAAGTCGCTCTCCTCTCCAACATCGAGCACCTCAAGTCCAAGGCTCTCTCGTTTGCCTTTGCCCTCCTCGAGTCGCGCCCGGAGCAGGAGCATGTCATCCTCCGCCTCATCGCCGAGCGCGTCGCCGACCCGATGCGCAAGATCGCCGCAAAGGTCCCCTACCTCTTGCACAAGCTGCTCATCCAGCACCCGAGCATGGACCTGGTCATTGCCAAGGCTCTGCAGGCCGTCATCTTTAAGCCGCACTCGTCGCAGCGCTCGCAGTATTACGCCATGATCTTCCTCAACCAGCTCGTCCTCTCCGAAGACGCGCCCGACCTTCCGGACCTCCTCCTCCGCACCTACTTTTCCATCTTCAAGCTTGCCGTCAAGGCCGGAGACGTCAAGTCGAAGCTCCTCGGTGCCATCCTCACCGGCGTCAACCGCGCCTACCCATACACCTCTCTCGAAGCCACCTTTTTCGAGAAGCACGTCGACACCCTTTTCAAGATCGTCCACCTCACCGCCTTCAAGACCTCCGTCCAGGCCCTCTCCGTCATCCTTCGCCTCATCGACCGCATCCCGGACCTCGCCGACCGCTTCTTCCGCGCTCTCTACGCAAAGCTCCGCGACCGCGACCTGCTGACCACCGCCAAGCCGGGCCTCTTCCTCAACGTTCTCTACAAGGGCCTCAAGGCCGACACCGACGTCAACCGCTCCATCGCCCTCATCCGCCGCACTCTCCAGGTTGCCGTTGGCGGCAAGCCCGAGTTCACCTGCGCTACACTCCTCCTCATCTCCGAGGTCCTCAAGGCCAGGCCCATTCTCTCGCGCACCATCGTTCTCCCGATCGATGCCCCGCTTCCAGCGCCCGACGACGATGGCTCTCCCGCCCAAAACGAGGGTAGCAGCGACACCGGATCGGCCTCGGCCGACAACAACAACTCTCCCGCTCAGAACGAGCGCAGCAGTGACACCGGATCGGCCTCAGCCTCTGCATCTAGCTCGGCCTCGGCTTCCGACTCGGCCTCAGACTACGCCTCGGACTCGGAGGCGAGCTCGGCTGCCGGCGCCACCGAGTCCGCCCTCGACGCCATGATGAGTAGCGAGAAGAAGGCGCGCAGTGCTGCAATTTCGAAGCCCAGCGCCAACGACGACGACCCGCTTTCCTACGCCGAGCCGCTGTACACCGTCAACGCGCGCGAGCCCAAGTTTGCCGGCGCCGAGAAGACTGGTATGTTCGAGCTCAACGCCCTCACAAAGCACTTCCACCCCTCGGTCCGCAAGTTTGCCTCAACGCTCCTCGGCGGCTACCCGATTGTCTACAACTCGGACCCGCTGGCCGACTTTACTCTCGCCGCCTTCCTCGACCGATACGTCTACCGCAACCCGAAAAAGTCCGGCGGCGCAAGCGGGCTCTCGCTCATGCAGCGCGTCCCGCAGCTCTCGGCCGCCAGGTCCATCGTCCCCAGCTCGGCCGAGTTTGCCGAGCTGTCCGAGGACGCCGTCCCCGAGTCGGATCTCTTCCTCCACAAGTTCTTTGTCGCCAGGCGTGCCAAGAACAAGCTCCGTGCCAACAACGACGCTGCCGATCCCGAGGACCTCTCCATGGGCGCCCTGCTTGGCTCGGTCCTCAAGGACAGCATCAACGAGGAAGGCGCCGCTACTGGCTTCTCGTACGACGACATCAACGCCAATGACTTTGACGACGACATCCAGCTTGACTCGACTGGCCACGCCGCCGCCGGCACAGTCACCGAAGCCGACCTCGAGGCCATGATGGAGGAGTATTCGGACGACGTCGACTTTGACGAGGACTCGGACGATGACGATGACGGCGAAAATGCCGCTCAGGGTGGAGGTGCCGCTGTCTCGTCCGTCTTTGCCGCCGCCAACGACTTCCAGGACATGATCGAGGCCGATGTCCAGGCCCAGGCCTCCAAGGAGGCGCAGTGGGCCGACACACGCACCTCTGGCCGCGGCCGCGGTGGCCGTCGCGGTGGCCGTCGCGGCGGCGGAAGGGGCCGTGGTCGCGGTGGTGGCCGTGGCCGTGGCCGTGGCCGTGGCCGTGGCCGTGGCCGTGGTGGTCGTCGCGGTGGCCGTGGCCGCGGTGGCCGTGGTCGCCGATAAACGCTCTGCCTACATCTCACTCGAGAGCATCGCCACAATCTCGTCGTGATTGCACGCAGCGGCGAGTTCTACGAGCGTGCCGCCTCTCGCAGTCTTGGCGTCCACCCGCCCGTCTGCTAACAGTGAACGCACAACGCCCGCATGCCCGTTGAGCACAGCCTTGACCAGGCAGTACGAGTCGTCGTCACCTGGATTCGATCGCCCGTCCGCAAGCAGCAGCTCCACCACGTCCGCGTGTCCGCCCGACGCCGCCATCCCGAGCGCATAGCTGTAGCGTGCCCCTGGATCAACCTCGGCTCGCCCAAGCATCCACGCCACCACATGACTCTGCCCCGCCTCGGTCGCCAGCCGGAACGCTTCGCAATCAGAATGCCCCAGGTCAGCCCATCCGCCATCCACCAGCAGCTCGACCACAGCGAGGTGGCCCGAGCGCGCGGCAGCGGTCAACCCCGTGTTGTGTCGTGTCGCGTCGGCAACGCCGCGCCCATCCTCGACCACTCGCTGCACAACCCTGACATGCCCTCCCATGCACGCGTAGACAAAGTACCGCTCGCGTCCGCGGACCCGATAAGCAATCGGCGGCTGGACGCCCTCGCTCAGCAAGTCGCTCACCGCGTCCGCGTGTCCATGCCAGCTTGCCATCTCCAGCAGCGACAGCGCTCGTGCGCCTTTGCCCTTTGACACGTACAGCCGCGGCAGCGGCGTAACGTCAAAGCCAAACGCGTCGTCACTATCACCGTGTCGTGCGCAGGCAGCAGCAAAGACCCGCGGCCACATCCGGCCAATCCGCCCTCCATCCACCGCAGCCGGAAGCCGCAGCAGCGCAGGTAGCACCTTATCCACTTCCTTGGCAAGCTCGACATCGTCCATTCTTGCGAGCCGCATCTCAGCAGCATCAATCCATCCAGCCGCCAGACTCTGTGCCATAGGCAGCAGCGCACGGTGCAGCACGAGCGCATGCCCGTTCGACCCGAGCTTGGCCCGCAACGCCCGACACGTTGCCTTGAGCGCCGCCACGTCGCGAGCATAGAGCCCGAACAAGTACGCCATCCGCTGGAGAAGCTCGGTGGGAAGCTCGTCGAGCTTTGCTCCTTCCATAGCGACAGCTGCTGTCGCGTCTGCTACGACTCGCTAACACCTGCGGCCGGCTGAGCGAAGCGAAGCGGCTGACACCTTACTTTGCTATGACCTCCGATGGCGTCAACACAGTCTGCTCCGACGGAGCGGGATGGGCTGGCAAACATGGTCAAGCCATCGAGCCAGCGGAGCGACCGCTCGGCCGGCAACCGAGAGTGTTGCTTTGCTTCCATCGTTCTTTATCCAACTATCGCAACTGCAGCAACCTTTGATCCATAGCATAGCCATGGCTTCTTACAACCCTCCTCCGCTCGCACCTGCAACGCCGGCTTCGACTTCCGCTCCGGGCACGTACTGCGCGTAGAACTTGGCGTAGAGAGTGCCAAACTTGGCCCTTGACGCCTCGATGGCGGCCTTGCGCGCTTCGATGGTGAGTGGCGCCTTGTTGTACACATTGTCGAGCCAGTAGTGGCAAAAGGCCACCGCACGGGCGGCCCAGGCCTCGTGGTCGGTCTCGTACGACGGGATCTGGTCCATTCGCGCCATCCGCCGCCGAATCCGGTTTTCAACATCCGTGAGTGTGGCGCGCGAGATGGTGACGGCCTCGCGAACAGCGCCGCTCGGCGCCCGCGGCTGCAGCGCCTTGAGCGCGCGGAACACCGAGTTGCCGAGCCGCTTGAACTGTTCCCGCGTCGCACGCGCAAGTGTGTAAAAGTCCGACTTGACCTTGAGCAGGCCAATAACCTCGCCATCGAGCATAAAGTAGACAACCACGCCCTCGGTCGTCGTGTCGGCACGGACCTCGGCCACAATATCGTCGAGCTCGGCTACCGCCCGCTTCTCGACCTTGACCGCCGGGAACTGATACTTGTCAAAGAGCGCAAAGGTGGTGACCGGGTCGATGGCGGCCGAGCCGACGCCGCGGATGGCAAAGCCGTCCAGAAAATCAGCCTCGATCGGGAACAGGTGCTCGTGCGTCGCGTTGTTAAACTCAAACAGCACCACATAGTGGTTGTCGTGGAGGACACGCCCGAGCTCCTCGAGCGCGTCGAGCTCGTCGCGAACAACTCCCGTCACGTACTCGTGGAACGCGTTGAGGATCTTCCACGACGGAATGGTCGGGTCCGTGTTGTTGTACACGGTCCGCGGATCGGTAGCCACCGGACACGCCAGACACACGTTCTTGGACCCGGCGAGCACCCACCACTCGCCGCCAATCTCCCGCAATGTGGCCTTGGCGTTCTCGCCGTTGCTCTTGGTAGTCACAAACAGCGTATCGGCCTCGAGATGCGAGCGGCCGCCGGCAAAGAACAGCCGCTTGCGCTCCGGCGCTTCCGAGACGTCGTCCTCATCAGTGGCAGTGAGGCCGGTGAACTTGTCCAGCCCGCGGATGACCATGACCGCCTCCTCCTCGATCACTTGCGGGTCAAGACCCGCCAGCGAGACGTCGTCCGGCAGCCGGGTCGCTGGCGTGTCAAACGCGTCGTACACGGGCGAAGCCCGCAGCGCCTCGCCGCCAATGACAAAGCGGAAAAGGTAAAGCCCCGTGACTGATACCGTCGCAGATACGCTGACAGCATCGCGGTGTACTCGTCAAACTCGCACGAGTACACCATGTCATCGTTAGGGAACTTGTAGCTCTTGGGCAGGCTCGCCCCGGCCTTCTTGGCTCGCTTCTTGAGCATGCTCAGCGCCGCATTCGGCTTCACCGACGTGTTCACCCACTCGGCGATGTAGTACCGCCCGTCTACGGCGTCCGAGGCAAAGGCCCGTCCGTTGATGTTCGCCTTGACCCATGGGTGGCACATGAGCAGGTGGAAGACTAGCGAGTCACGGACCGCGACCTCGGCGCTCGTTGTCGGCTTGCCCATGCCCTGGATCACTTCGTCAAGCGCCGCCAGCGTCCTTGGCGAGCCAGCCTCATCATTGCTCGGCATGCCGACGTCAATTCCGGCAAGATACTCGCGTGCTGCCTCCATACTCACTCTCGGGACTGAGCGACGGGTGTGCCGTTGGTGACGGTGAGTGGGAGAAAGAAAGAAAACGACGCCTTTTAGCACTCTGCCAATCGAAGCACTCGATTGATTCCGCGCACCCGAGTTTGGCGACGTCAGCGATTGCGCTCGCTATCGCCTAGTCTGGCCTTGTGTGTCTCTAATCTTAGTCGTGCACCGCATGCTCCGAACGGGCAGTCGGCGGCATGGGAATTGGTGGGAACTTGCGCCGGATCTCGGGCGTGAGCGCGGCAAGGTCGAGCTTGAGCTTCGAGGCGAGGAACGCACCGATGTCCGAGTTCTGGTGGACGCCGTACATGGCCTCGGTGCCTGGCCCATAGAGATAGAGGTTGACGTCCTCGCCGGTGTGTCCGTGAGTTGTCCATCCCACGTTGGCGTGGTACGAGATAAACTCAGAGAGCGCGTAGGTGAGCGGCGTTGTGCCGTTGATCCGGGCGGCCTCGAGTGTGGCGAGCTCGGCGGGCGTCGGCTCGATGCCGTAGTTGACAACAACCGTGTCGACGAGCGACATCGACGCGTTGGCCTGCAACTCGTGGGCGAGGTACTCTGCTGAGTGATTCGCTCGCGCGAGCACTTTTGGGTACCACACGTACGGATACGTGTCGCGGCCGAGGACCGGCTTGGTCCGCGCCAGCGTCAACCCGCCGGTCTCGTGGTCCGAGGTCGAGACCACGACCGTGTTGCCGTGCCCGCGCGCATACTCGACCGCCTGGCTGAACGCCTGCTGAAACTGCAGCGTCTCGTACACATGCGCCGCGGCGTCGTTGTTGTGGCCGGCGTGGTCGATGCGCGAGCCCTCGATCATGAGGAACATGCCGTGGGTCGCCGCCTTGGGCAGCGCCGACAGTAGCTCGAGCGCCTTGGCCACCATCTCGTCGAGCGACGGTTGGTCCGCCGGCACGCGGTCGAGCTCAAACGCCATATGCGACTGCGCAAAGAGGCCTATGAGCGGGAGCGAAGCCGTCGTTGCGCTGCGGAGGCCGGCAACGTCGGTGATGACCGAGAATCCCGCGTCGCGGGCCTCGGACATGACGTCCTTCTCGTCGGCCCGGCACGAGCCGGCCACAGACTGCGGCTGGAACTCACACCGTCCACCACCAAACAGCAGGTCAATCTTCTGCGTGATCTGCTGCTCCGCAATGGTCGGCTCCATCTCGCGGTCGGGCACGTGGGCCGTGAACGCCGCCGGCGTTGCGTGCGTCACCCGAGATGTGACCACCACACCGGTCGCCATCCCAGCCGCAGCCGCAGCCTCCAGCACCGTCGCGCATGCTTCGGGCGGCTGCGAGTCGGTCACCCCGATCGCCCCGTTGTAAGTCTTAAGCGCGCACGAGAAGCACGTCGCCCCGGCCGCAGAGTCCGTCACCAGATTCGACGTCGAGTATGTGATCGATGCCCCGCGGAGCTGATAATCCAGTGGTTGCAGCTGTGCCTTGTTGGCGAACACCCGCGCCATCGTCTCGCCCGAGGGACCGAACCCGTCAGAGATCATCATGATCACGTTCGTCGGCCGGAACGTCTCGGGCGTCTTGTCCGTCTTGAACGCACCGGCACCCGCCGCCACCCCACCGACACCACCGACGCTCCGATGAGCGCCACCAGAGCCCACAGACACTATCACACCCACATACATACACATGCACGTGGATAACGTCATGTTGTTAGTGCTTGGCGCCGTCCCCCCTCACCCCCTCGCCCCCTCATTCCCCCTCCCATCCCCCATCGGCCACCCTACCCTACCTTTGCACGGAGACTCAGGTCGGTCCACCGGGTGAGGAGGCCACGACCGCCACGGGGCGAGCTAGTCTCTCCGTCCACCAGCAGAGTATCTTCCGCAGCAAGCATTGCTGGCAACCGATCAACCGACGAGTGCGTTGGGTGACCAAGACTTGGCGCTTCAATCCCGTGACCTGCGGCGGTGGGGAAGGGCGGCACCGCACAGTGCCTGTGAAAGGATGGGCTCCTGATCCGGATTCGGCTCCCACGTGACATAGGCCCAAGCCATGCGGCGCGGGGTGTGGTACGATGAGATGGATGGACATGAGAACAGGTTGGAATGG